AACCCGGCAAGGAAAAGGCCTCCCACAACTGCGCGGGGCAGCCTGTTCCGCAAAAACCCGCGTCAACCCATTGTGAATCTGCAGCTCCCGGTCCTCGCAGACGCAGGGCATTATCACTCTTTGCGAAGGACACCAATGTCCCTGATACTGGTCCCTGTAAGTGGTATCAGCATGCTTGATTGGGGTTCTGTGATTTATAATTACTGAGCAAAGTAGTATAATTTAAAAAAATAAAAGTAAAAAAAAACCCCATGCTGTTTCTGAATGTAGTTATGCTTGTCCCTACACCTAAATGCCAAAAATAAATGTAAAATACATAAAATACATAATTTAAATAATAAATAAATAATACCACCTTCCTCTTAGAGTATTTTTTTTTCTGCAACTGCAAATTGAAAACTGCAGAGTTTATTTTTTAAAGTACCTTTTATGGCAGAGCCCTGTATGTCTGTGATTTTTTTTTTAAGATAAATTTTATTAAAATTGGGGCTTTTTTCTTAAAAGAAGGGCTTTCACCTCCACAATTTAGTTAAAAACCTTCGAAGAGGTACTAAACGTATTTTGAGTTGAATAGACAGTTTCATGATTTCTATTTAACAGTAGAAAAAACGGTAAATAGTGGCAGTGGCAAAAAGCAGGCCCTTAAACAGAGATAACATTACTTATAAGTTACCAAAACATATTTTTATAGAACCATGGGGTTGTTTGGGTTGGAAGGGACCTTAAAGATCATCCAATTCCAACTCCCCTGCCATTGGCAGGGGGGCCCTCCCCCAGAATTGTCAGGGTTGGAAGGGACCTTAAACAACAACCCAATCCAACCCCCCCTGCCATTGGCAGGGGCCCCTTCCACTAGATGTTTGTAGAGATCTTTAGATGGAAAACACCTATTTTATATCTTTGTGCTTATATTTTAAGTTCCATGTTAATGTTACCTGCCTGTAAATGCTGGTTTTCATGTTCAGTTGAGTGTGACTTTTAATTATGGCTTAGACTTTGAGGTTAAATCCTTGCAACTGTCTTCAGAACTCTGAGGTGATGCCTTTTGGTATTTACAAATATCTAACTTTTGCATGTGTCAGATATTGCATACAAACTTAAAGATTCATTACTGTTAATAATAACTGGGTTTATGAACATTCATTTCTGTTTCAATTCCTGAAGAGGTTAAGCCAACTGAACTTGCCCTCTGTTCTGGCAAAGACAGAGATGGATTAATAGTTGCTAGAAAAGCAAAGGAATGCTTTTAGAAAGTTAATGCCCTTTACTTTGAACTCGTGTAATAGCATAAAATATTAAGTTTATCAGAAAGCAAGTAGACACAAATAATTAAACACCAGCTCTAGCTGTTAATACATAGCTGCCTTTTGAGTTATGCAGCTGGTTTGTTTAATTAGCTGGGTTTTCTGATCCTCTGAAAACTATCTTCTGAGATGAGCCACATGAAATATATGCAATATCCAGGGTTAACCTCACCATTTCACAGCTCTTTTAAGTCTAATTCTTTATCAGCTTGTACCGCCTCTTACATCTGTGTGAGTCTTTGATGCTGTGTGTCTTGCAGAGATCTGTGTTTTCGGTTTGGCACTTAATGCTCCATTCGGTATCACAGAACAGAATTACTCTTTATTTTGGAACTAGATGTATGAAGCTGCTGTAGTTGAATCAGGACGTTATCTCTAAAGGTTTGGACAGATGTGCTGGAAGTAGGTTGGACAGAAAAAGGATTCTGTTTATCTTTTTTGTTCCGATGCTTCGAAGAAAAATAGGTAGACTGATTTCTTGCCAAGTTTAGTGTCTGTAGAATTGTGATGTAAATTAAAACTTTAATGTTGAAGTGTCAGGATTTCTTACAACCAAAACTTGAGAATTACGTACGACTGAACTAGCTCTCAAACTTCTCTTTTGTAGGTGCTTGGTTAGTGTGTTACTTTAGGAACTTGCACAGAATATACTATCTGCCCGTTGGGATGTGGATCAGACAAGAAACTTAAAACAAGCAATGTCACGTGTTACTGTTCTCTGTGTTTTATAATCGAATCTTGAACATGTTTTCCTGAAAATATATACTCTATAGTGTGGTGGTTATAGCAAAACTGAATTTTAAGAACATCTTGAGTCCAGGTCCTAACTGAAAAATGTATTTTTATATGTCTGTAAGCATATTATTTGACCCCTTAATCGCTCTCTTTGGGAAGACAGATCTATGTAGAACTGAGGTATTTTGGCTGAAATGTCATAAATTATTTCAGTATTTTAGTTAATTTAAAATTTAGATTATTGTAATAATCTAAGAGAGGTGATTGACACATGGAGTTTGGCAGCAATTGAACACCTGTGTTACGCTAAAGATGACATTTGCCATTGTTTTTGGAAACTCTGAGATAATTGCACTCATCTTGTCCCAGATTATAAGATTTGCATTGTGATGGCTTATCAGCTTGTTTGCTTCAGTAATTTGACAATGAAATAAGAAAAAAAAAATTAATTGCAAAAGGTGTCCCATTATTGAAAGGTTTTTTAGGGTGGATTTGCTGGGTTTGCCACAAGAAGTGGTGCTCATAGCTTAAGCAAGATAACAGTATTCCTTGAGCCTCTGTAATATGTTACCAACTGTTTTCAAGTGGGTAGTGTATATTATTGAAAAATTGACCTATGTCCACATTTCTTTAGGGAAGAAAGATAACTTGCCTTTGCTTCCAGAACATAAACAAATAAAGAAGCTTACAAAGTCTCCCATCTTGAACTTTGCAGATAGCCGTGGCACAGAAACTCTTAATCTGTGGACTGTCCTTACTCTTCCACATGACTATTACAAAAACTTTGCCTGTGGAGTACAACATTGATGATAACTTCAGAGCTACAGCGTCATGGCCTGTAAGGGTTTTCTACTTATACGTGTCTCTCATGGCTGCCAGACCCAAGTATTATTTTGCATGGACTTTAGGTAAGTATGTATACTTAAAAAAAAAAAAGAAAGAAAACATATATTGAGCTTCATTTGAGATGCTGCACATTAAGCATGTATTAAAAAGTTACAGTGCCCTCTTGAGGCCTTAGGAAAACATTATTCCATATAAGTGTTCTGAGGTATTGTCTGAGTGTGTACTGGGTGGTGTCTCTCTTTCTGAGAAACAAAACTTACCATAAATCTAAGCACAGTGTTGTGACAGTGTTGCAAATGAGAACATGGTTTCCTGAACAAATCTGAATGAAACATAAGGATTTTTGGAGAGTGATAGTGTTTTAATGAGCAATGACTTTTTTGTTTCTTAAAAATTGTACTAAATTCGGTTTGATTTTTATTTTTTTTGATAGTTTAAGTTTGGCGTATCTGAAAAGTTACTCTAAGCCTCTTTCTGTAGTTAACTATCAGTATCATGCTCGATGATATTCAAGCATGAAGGAAAAATGAATATATTGAAATTAAGATACATCATAGTGTTGTTGATAGGAGAAGGTATTCGCAGTAGTGTTTTGAGAATTTGATGGATGACACTTCAGTTTTAGTCTTTGTTTCCTAAAAGTTCCAATGACCAATGGCATAGCACCCGTAGTCACTGATTTAAGACACGAATTGATGATATAAAGGACATTTTGGTTTTCACTTCATGTTATTTGAAAAAAAAACCGCAACCAACACAACACATAAAACAGCAAAATGCTGTATTTATATAAGCTGACATGTTGGAAGCGGCTCACAAACCAGATTTCATCAGCTTCCTCCTCCTCTCCTGTTTTACATATTTATTTCATCTTTTTTTTGAGAGAGAATCTGTGGGAAACAATGCAATGAAGAAAGCCTTAGTGTAGCAGAGCAGCATGACTCATTTACAGCTGCTGGTTTCATTCCTGGTCAATGAATGAAATGCTTTCAGCTTGTCTGGATATAGTAATTCTGGGGCTTGTTGTGGAATGAAATAATTTCGAATGTTGTGCTCTTATGCACCAGTCTGTAAAGAGTCAGAGTCATCCAAAAAAATGAATAATCTGTGCTGGTATTTTTTCCCCCCTGCAATACTGCAGATGAATTTCTCCATATGTGCTTGCTAGTAATGTAGGATACTGGAGGAAACAATATATATATCAACCCTTTGGTTTTAATTTGCTAAACAGCTTTTTTTAATCTTCTTCCTTCAACTTGACACCATCTAAGCTTCTGATGGTATGACTAGAATGTGAAGAGGCCTTAATAGTTTTACGGGATGATATGGTTTTGAGTTATACATTACTATTCTTTACACTTAAGGAAAAATAAATCTGTTAATAGAATTAGTTACTTAAAAAAAATAATATTAAAATGCTAGTTAATAAAATGAGTACTTACTATAGCCATAGTTTTTTTCTCTAGTTAGTAAGAGATTATGAATTTCGTGTCTTCAGCTTTTTCTAATTGAGCATAAAATCATTGTCTAATTTTTGAACTCAACATCAGTGATACCAGATGTATAGCAGCAAATACTGTTGCTTTCAAAGAAAATTAAAATAGCATAAATTACACTTTGTTTGACATTTAATCAAATGTTAAACAGCCCTGCTCCAGAATGGTAGATAACTGGAGAAACTGAACTTCAGGAAAGGAACTATTTGAGCATTTAACTCAACTGTTTCTTTTACTTTCCAAATACACTGGATTAATACCTTAAAAAAGATGTTGAGAAGAAAAGAGCGTGCAAAAGATAATAATTTCTCTTACATATCACTATTGTACAGAGTAAATTCTTTTTAACATGGCAATGCAAACTGAGTAATTTCTCTTGCCTTGCTAGGTATAATTTACAAGGTGACAGTCTAATTACAGTGCTTTAAATGGATTCTGAGCTAACAGAGAGGCCTCGTGACCTGTAACTAGAGGGGACTGGATCTGTCTTGCTGCTGCAGAGTCTTTGCCTGCCTTTCTTCATTCTTCTCCTCATGGTCCCTAATTTATCCACGGAGATGGGCGTGTGGCTGAGTTCGTCCTTCAGGGATGCGTGTCCCTGTTTGGGCGCATGCAGCCAAGCGCCTGGCTCAACAAAGGCAATGTTTGGAAAAAAACCTTATTTCCTTGTACATGGCCATCCTAATTTGGGAAGTACAGCTGAGGAGATTTTAGTGTCTGAGCTAACAAAGCTGAGGTGAAGGTGATGGTGGCAGAGAGGGCCGGGTGGGATTCAGACCCTTTGCTTTTCCTGCATTGTCCAGGTGAGGCAGCAGCTTTCTGTCCCAGGGAAACCTATTGTTGGCTTGGGACCATTTGACCTCTGACTGGCGCTGTTAACACTTCACATTCAGAAGTGTTGTTTACAGCGGCCTTGTGCCATTAGTGCGAGTCTGACAAACTCTGCATCGCTCGAGAAGTTCCCGTTTCCTTTGATTACGTTCGCACCGCTCTGTGCGGTGCCGTGAGTGAGCACCTGCTCGAAGCGAATTGTGCGGTTTTGTATTTATGCTCTCAACATCACTTGCCACATAATGAAGACCAAAGACGTGCTTTGTTACAACCGGCCACTGTTGTGTAGTCTTGATGTATGTCATCGAGTTTGGTTTTTGGACAGATTGCTCAAGCTAGTCTGAGTAGGTGGCATGAGAGAGAGGGGACATCTGTAGTGTGAAGCAGACAGTGCTACCTTTCACTCTTTTGTACAAATTTTTTAACTGAAAGCTGGTCTGTTGCTTTAATTATTTTCTGTTGGTTCACTTGTCTATTACGGTGATTCTCAGTGTTTTTATATATATATATATATATATAGCCTTAAAATCTGATAAATACTTTGAACCAACTACATGTTGCAGAGCTTGTAATACAGGCAGTTTATAATTAACATTTTTCTTTTTGTTTCATTGCAGCAGATGCAATTAATAATGCAGCAGGGTTTGGTTTCAGAGGCTATGATAAAAATGGAGTTACACGTTGGGATCTAATATCAAATCTGAGAATCCAGCAAATAGAGGTTTGTTTCTGGCTCTTTCAAATAAAATATGTGCCCATGTAGGTAGTTGCCTGTAATTTCAGAAACTTTTCCTACGCATTTTGTTCCTCGAGATAGTGAATATGTTCTAAGTCAGAAATGACGTCTTCACACCCTTAGGAAAGGATGGAAAATAGACTGTTTTGAGTATGTTCTACTTATCAGTTGACTTCCAAAATATTTTGTGGTTATAAGTAGTTGAGTAAATGCCTTATTCAGCTAGTCACAAACTTGATGTTATTTTTATAATTTCTATTGCAGAATTTTGAAATATTTTGTAACACTTTCCAATTATGGAAATAACTACTTTGTTTTTACTTTACAGTTTTCCACAAGTTTCAAGATGTTTCTTGATAACTGGAATATCCAAACAGCTCTTTGGCTTAAAAGGTATTTATTTGTTGAAGGAAAGCTTTTCTCCACTGAGGTTTCTTAGATAAATATTTCTTTGAAGATAATTTAGCATTTAAAGCTAAACTCCACAAAACAGCAGGTGGTTACCAACTGCACAGGACATTTTTCTTCTAATACTTGAATTAAAGCCTCTGAGCTTAGGAATTTTCTCTTAGTGTGAACCATCAGGTTATGACAGAAACTGTTTTTCTTCACTGGTCATAGGGAACCTAATACTATTAATCTGTGGAGGCATCTCTTTTTTTCTTTTTTTCTTTCTTAGCATTCCAAGCAGTGCATGTTGCTGAGAGCAGCAGGCAAATTGTACACCTTAGCCCATGGAAGCTCTGCATTATTTTTAGCCACGCAGTGATACAGGAACTTCCATTTCTTCTGCAAGAGAACTTCCTGCGCTCCTTCCATAATGAGTGTAAGGAAAATATCAAACCCTACAATGGGCTATCAACGAAAATTTCAAATGAGTATCCCTCGGATGCACTTTTCCTTCTCTTGGAAACAGGCATAGGGCCCAGTGAACTACATCATTCTGCTTTTACTCTACTTTGTGGTAAACAAAGTTAAAAAGTGTTCTTGAGTAGCGTGTGGGTGGAGTTTCTCTTCCAGCAGTCTCTTACTGATCTTTTGTCAACAGATGCAATTTAACTGAGACCCCTATCTTGGGATTGCTCAGAGATGGCTGGCAACAGGATATTTCTTCCATTGAATTTCTTTACAGTTTATTATCTTCTTTCCATAATTTCTTCCCTAAATATTTTTCTGATACAAACAGAAATGGAAGTTTTTGTGATTATTCTAGTTGAGTAGAACAGTCAGCAGGGAAGAATTGCATGCTTTTAAGTATTGAAATGTATCAATTAATAAAGCAAATAAGCTATGTAGCCATTTTTAAATGCATTTTAAAGATAACAGAAGTTTATCAGTATTAAAACTTAATAAGAAAATGTGGTGCTCCAACAAACTTTCAGATCTCCTGAGTGATCACAAACAGAATCTTTTAATGGAGAAAAGTAACATTTCTGTTAAGAACTGAAAGAAAAAAAAAATTCCAAATCAGTTGCATAGGGTAACATTAAAAGATGATGCGAAGAATAAATAAAGCATCTTCTTTAGTAAATATTTTTAAGAACAATTGTAGAAGAATCTGCTGAGGGCAGTCTAAATCCGTACGGATTATGCCACAGTGAAAGGGAGAAGAGCAGGTGTGTTTTTAAAGTTTTGTTGCATCTAAAAGGTTGTTCTGATGATTACGACCACAAATAGTGGTACAGCATATATATTGTTACCAATAATTTGGTTAGTTGCAATGCAGCAGCCTTTTGAATAAAGGGCAAGCTCGTGTATTACTTTACACAGTCACTTTTAATACCTTACTTGTTTCCCATTTAGAGAAGTACCTCAAATCTTAGCAGTTTGTTGTATTCTTTTCTGATTCTCTCTAAAGAAAAAACAAACCATCAGAATTACAGGACTTGTGTGTAAAAACAAACTCCTTGTGAAAACACAGTTAACGGTCTACAGATTATAGAGAAGCTTAATAAACATTTAATGTAGATTATGCAATAGAGCAGTTTAAAGGTATTGTTATTGCAAGCATGCAAGTTGAAATAGATGTTTACATAGCAGCATATATCAACAATATATATTATGCCAATGTTTCCTCACTGGGGAAGCTGTTATGCTCCCCCTTGGCCTGTTTATTCTTTTTTTACAGAGAAAACATCTAATTCTATTTGTCTTTGACCTCGTTTGCAAAACCTCTAGAGTTCTTCTTGCTCTCTTCTGGCATCTTTCCAAACTTCCTGTCTTCTTACAGTGGATGTAGTACTTCCGATAAGAAGTCTTTAAAGTCTTTCCCTGGCTGGTTACAGGCGAAGTTGAATGATTTGAGTGGATTAATTACCTTTATTTTCTGTAGATAACACTCTTTTTTTGCAGCAGCAATCTACTGTTGATTCATGCTCAGCTGATAACCGGTATTTCATACTGTTGATTCATATTCATACTCAGCTATGCTTTTTCAGTAATGTTACAGGAATGGATAGTGTTCTGTATTTTCCATTTTTCTTAGTAGGTGTTCTGTACTTTGGACTTCTCATCTTACTGATTTCAGAACATTGTTCAGATCTGCCACCATCATTTTGGATACTGGTGCTCTATCCACCAAGAAAACAATGTCAATCTCATTCACCCCACCTCCCACCCCAAAAAAAGAAGGGAAGACAATGTGGAAAAAACAGACTTCTCAGTCTGCCACCCAAGCTAGTAATGAAAGTATAGAACCAGTCCAAAGGCAATACTTTGCTGAACAGTTCATGTATCTTCCCACTTCTAGAGCAAATTATGTATAAGATAACCTGAGCCACATGTCTTTCTTTTAAAAAGACTTTCTCACCCTGTTGTGATGACCGTATCACCTTGGTTTGCTTTTAGGAATGTTAAGTGAAGCATTTCAACATGACTTTTTATTGACAGAATCTTGGAGGAGTTTAAGCTTACATTTTTACTCTTTGAAATTGAAGCTTCATGTTTTTTCTAGTATATATCTTATCTGACTTGCATTGTTACAGATGAAATTTGATTAGTTACTTCATTTGGGTTTGTTAGTTCCTGAATGCCTTGCAGGGCAAAGTTTGCTTAAAATAGTTTAAATCAAATAAAGATTGAAGCCATTTATCAATTTATTAATGAGACATAATTAACCACTAGTTAGTGAAATATACATTCAGAATTAGTATTAGTACTAGAACAGGTAACATTTTGTACGTGTTTAGTATTCTTTTTGAATAAACATTTCTAAACACTCTTCTGTAACTAATCCCAGGGAGTTTAAAAAGTGTACGTGTATGCAGTTACATGCAAATTGCTCCTCTACTCCCAAGGACATGTGGGATACAAAACCACATCTCCTTCTGGAAGCGTGGATCGCTGCTCGTATGCGCTGCTTGTGGGAGATGCGGGTGCTCCAGCTCTGCGTGAAGCTGCTGGTTCACGTGCCAGTTGGCAAAGCGTGCTGTGAGGTCACGCATTTGCAGCCGATGGGGATGAGGTATCGCTCCCTGCGTGTCTCACACCACACTGGCAGCCCCCTAGCTGGACATGGGCTCCTCGGGGTCTACCAGGGAGGATGCTCTCTCTTGGCTGAGACAGAGGTCGTGATGCTGGCGAGTTGACTTCTGGCAATGTCAGACCAGATTTTGATGACTATCATTTTGCTCTAAGATGTCACCCTGACTTGTTACAAATTTTCCTGATGCTTTTGTGCTTTCTAGACTGACAGATTCTTTGTCTTAAAATCCTCTTTGAAATTCCCTGGTTAGTGTTTAGTCTGGCCAGTCTTGCTTTCTTCTTCAGGGTGGTCTATTTTGGACAAATGCCCTCAGGTAGTTTTGTGTATTAACACATTTGTGTGCCTGCACCCTACTCTGGCCCCATGTTCTTGTCTTAATGGCCGTTGTTAGCAAAGACCTTTGGCAAGTGGAGGACCTCATAAGATAAAACTTACCACATCTGTTTGGCTGGCATAAACTATGTTAGCAAAATACACTTTTAATCGTTCCCTATTCAGATCCTGTCTTTTTACCTTCTGCTCTTTAACATTTGTCATTTATCATTTGGTCTCGGCTATCTTTTGTGTATATGGAAGTTGTAGCAAAATAGATTAGTAGTGGATGTTTCAGCCCTCTGTATCATTAGATTGTCACCTTCTTTGAGTAACAGACATACGTTTTCTTCTCTTTGTTACTTGCTGTATGTTTATAAAACCTTTCTATGTATTGGTGTCTATGGCCCTTTTTAGTTAAAACTCATTTTTATGTGCTAGCCTTAGATTTGTGTTCATGAATACTTGTGCTGTTTATTTTTGCTTCATGGTAGTGTGTATCTGTTTCCATATTTCCTATTGCTTTTTGGTTTTCAGATCATTAAAGACATTTAAGAACTCTTGATGAAGCCATATCAGGACCTTACCATGTTTCCTATCATTCTTCCACATCATGATGGTTTGTCATTGTCTCGTTTAATGTTGTCTTCTAGAAACTACTTTTCTTGATTTCCTTTCTCCCTTACTCCTTCTAGAATTCCTTACTGTAGGACCTGGCCTAATAATTCAGAGTCTCAATTTTTAAATAGCAGAGTTCCACATTCTACTTATTTGATATTCTCACGTCACCAGAGCCATTAATTAAAATTTCATTGTCATGCTCACCTAGCTGCCCTACACAGACACATTTTCAACTGTAGTCTCTCTGTTACTCAAAGCTGAAGGTAGTTGTTGCTTTTCCCCTTCTCTTACACATTTTCCTAAAATGAAAGCAGCTTATATCTGACTCATCGTAAGATTTTGTGAGGTGGTCTGTGCCTTCCAGTGTAGCTTTTAAAACACATTCTTGGATGGGTCGAGATCCCGTATTGAGAGCAACGCCTGTCTTTGGATGCCTGTGTATCACTTCATCATAAATAAGTACCGTATGTGATGGCACTAAGCATAGGTTAGCACTGAGAGATTGAACTGGGAGCTGTGAATAGATTTTTCTGCAAGTCATAATGCAGTGGTAGCATATTTAATAATAGTAAACTGCAGTTGCATTGCAAATGATGTGTTAGAGATGAAAATGCTAATAGTGTAAATGACAACTGGGAAGGTTATTGATGACTTTTCTCATGTTATTTGTCTTCAATTGTCTTTGACTTGCTAGAGTGTGCTATGAGCGAGCCACCTTCAGCCCAACGATCCAAACCTTCATCCTTTCTGCCATCTGGCATGGGGTTTACCCAGGATATTATTTAACATTTTTAACAGGAGTACTAATGACACTAGCAGCACGAGCTGTAAGTACCAACCAAGTATCTTAGAAGTTTTGTAGAAGAAAAATGATCATGTTCTGTAGTCCAGAAATGTGCCTTACAGTTGATACCTCATGAAGTTCAATAAGGACAAGTGTAGGGTCCTGCGTCTGAAGAGGAATAACACCAGGCACCAGTACAGATATGGGGATGTCCTGCTGGAAAGCAGCCTCATGGAGAAAGACCTTGGAGTCCTAGTGGACAGTGAGTTGTCCATGGGACAGCAATGTGCCCTTGTGGCCAAGAGGGCCAATGGGATCCTGGGGTGCATTAGGAAAAGTGTGTCCAGCAGGTCCAGGGAGGTTCTCCTCCCCCTCTACTCTGCCCTGGTGAGACCACACCTGGAATACTGTGTCCAGGTTTGGGCTCCCCAATTCAAGAGAGACAGGGACCTACTGGAGAGACTCCAACAGAGAGCTACGAGCATGATTGAGGGACTTGAACATCTCTCCTGTGAAGAGAGACTGAGAGAACTGGGGCTGTTTAGCCTTGAAAGGACATGGCTGAGAGGGGATCTTATTAATGTATAGAAATATCTGGGGAGTGGGTGTCAAGAGAAAGGGAGCAATCTCTTTTCAGTGGTGCCCTGCAATAGAACAAGAAATAATGGGTTTAAGTTAGAACATGGGAAGTTCCACCTCAACATGAGGAGAAACTTCTTTACTGTGAGGGTGACAGAGCCCTGGCACAGACTGCCCAGAGAGGTTGTGGAGTCTCCTTCTCTGGAGACTTTCAAACCCCACCTGGATGCGTTCCTGTGTGGCTGCCCCAGGGGATCCTGCTCTGGCGGTGGGGTTGGACTAGATGATCTCTGGAAGTCCCTTCCAACCCCTGACATTCTATGATTCTGTGATATGCAGTCAGTCTGATAATGGTGTTACTTTTCTTGGTTATTAGAGCAATGGGAATGGTTAATTATAAGGAGGAGTTCATTGGTGGAAACAAGCAAAACTTTACACAGCCTGTAACATTGTTGTAGCATATCTTTTGTGGAAGCTCTTCCTCTGTATTAACTGATCATATATTATTACACCATGCTGAACAGAATGATGGTATCTAAGACAATTTTGAAAAAAACTGTGATAATAAAAAAGTTGCTGATGATGAGTGAGCTTAAAATTTGGGGTCAATGCTATATATTTATACAGTGTGCCACCTCCCTAATTTCTGTCCAGTACTATTGTAAAGATGGTAACTAAGGAACACTCCCCCTCAACCAGCGATAAAAAGTGCAGTTACCGTTCAGCCAGCACAGTCCCATTAATAAGCTTTTGTAGTTATAATTCAGAAGCGAATTGAACCAGCAAATCTGCCAAGAAATCTCTCGCAGTTGTGCTTGAGAAAACTGCATTAAGAACAGAAACAAGTTTAGCAGTTCCTCAATGGGCAAGATGAAGAAACAAATTAAATGTCAGCTCTCAGCGGCGTAACGTACCACTTTTCTCTTGCAAGAATCAGGAGAATGAGAAATGAAGCAGAGTACTCTTTGTTGCTGTCATAGCTAGGGGAAGGTGATACTTCAGATTTAGATTGTTACTAGCAGTAATAAAACAGATGCTCCTCTTTCTTCACAAAGATGTGGGTGTTGCCCTTTTTTGACAGAACTGACCCCTTTCTTGACAATAGGTGGAGCTCCCTTCTCCTTTCCACACTCTATCACAGTGAACTTTTGACATTTATCAGCCAGGGGCTGGTGCAAAAGCCAAGGTTCAGGGATAGTTCACAGGTAAAAGTTGTTGTATTCTCTCAGTGAGGTGAGTCCAGTAAATGTGAGTGCTCATGCACTTTGTCCTGGGCTTCATTAGGAAGCTGCATTGTATTCACATGCATCAATCAACAGGTTATTAAATAAAAATATTTTTATTTTCTGTATTAACCAGTACTTAATATTAACTAATAAGTTATGTTAGAGGTACTCCAGTGTGTTTATTATTTAACTCTGCTAGCCTTTAACTGCAAAGTTTGTCAGCTCTGATCCACACTTTCTTCTCCTCTCATGCCTAAGCATGTATTCAACTTGTTTTACTCCCTTTAACCATTACACTTACATTACACATACATTTTGTAATCAAGTAATTACTATGGGCAATTATAGATTTATCTTAAAAGCTGTCCTTGACGTCCTAAAATACTAGACTTGTCTACAAGAAATGCTGTGAAACTTCATCTAGATTTTACAGAACTCAGGAACAAGTAATTATATGTGACCACAGGAGAAAACTGGGTGGAGATGGCAGGATGAAGGGTATGTGCCTAGAATTACTTTTTTTACTTAGTTTAACTAAAGGCTGTGTGGGAATGTGGCGTCTACAGGGGAATTTGGGTAAGAAAGACAAGCAGGGTGAAAAAATGTTTTTAATGTAAAGAATAAAATCAACAGGAGCTAGCCTTGGATGTGTTCTTTAGAACTGGGAGTTCTTTAGAAACTGAAGGTTGAAGAAGCTCACGTGTGTACTTTGGTGTGTAGCTTCTCACAGAGGACTTACCTCAGTGCAGAAGAGTGGAAGGTGGCAACTGTGAGATCAGACTACACAAAGGCTGAATTGAGCCCAGCTTGGTTTGTCAGCAGATAAGAGTGTGAGGACGGGCAACAGTTCAGTCAAAGGAAGGAGGGATGAAGATCCACTGGTGTCTTTATAATTATAGACTTAAATAAAACTGACCCCAAACCTGTGTAGGTTTTGGATTTTTTTTTTTAAATACTTTTGGTATTCCATTGCCTGAGCAGAATTTTACAAAGAAAAGAAGACTCAGCATAGAAAACTGAGTAATTTTACCATAGTCTCACTTGATATTAGTTGACATTAAAACTCCTGAAATATGTCATTAGAACTTATTTTTTTTATATATTCTGATCTATACTCTACTTGTTCTAAAATACATCTTACTTTTCAAGTATATGAAAATGGCTTAACATATAGAAGGTTTCAACATTCTGGCTTTCATCTACTCCAACACTCCATATTTACAGAATGGCAGGATAGGATAGGATAGGATAGGATAGGATAGGATAGGATAGGATAGGATAGGATAGGATAGGATAGGATAGGATAGGATAGGATAGGATAGGATAGGATAGGATAGGATAGGATAGGATAGGATAGGATAGGATAGGATAGGATAGGATAGGATAGGATAGGATAGGATAGGATAGGATAGGATAGGATAGGATAGGATAGGATAGGATAGAAGAATAGGTCTGCCTCATCCAGACAAGCAGTCCAAATTTGCATTGGATTTAGGGAGGGGATACATTTACTTAAACTCTGCTTAAATTAATAAATACTTAAATTCCTGTGCTGGATGAAGCACGCTATCCTAAAAGGCAAGGCATTAGATCTGACTCCTAATTAAGTTGATGCGCATTTTGAACAGTTCAAAGGTTCTTGACCAAACTGTAACATATAAATTCATCCTATGAATTCTGTGAAAATGTAACAAACTCTGTACAGTATGACAGCTGTCCAAGTTTATTCTCAAGCTAATTTACTGTTACCTGCTTTTTCAGATAAGAAACAATATCAGGCACTATTTTGTTGAATCTCCTGCTGTTAAACTATGTTATGATATTGTAACATGGATGGCAACTCAAGTAGCAATAAGTTACACAGTCGTGCCATTTGTACTGCTCTCTGTAAAACCCTCTTTCACCTTTTACAGGTAAGCACACTCCACCTCTTTCCTTTTCTTTAACTTTGAATAGAAGTATTATCTGTGCCATAGGATTTCTAAAGCTATTTTGGTGATAACTGTAACATTGATTTGTTAGCTGTCTGCATTGTGTCTGAGAAACTATCAAGTGCTCCTGTTTCCCTGTCATCATAGATGTATTTTTCCTGGAGCAGGAAAAACACCCACCCAAAAACAAAACCAGAGGGTACCTTTGAGTTTACTACACAGACTTGAACTATTTTATAGCGAGACTAGAGAATGAGTTCCTAAAAGTAACTTATGAAAAAAAGTTGAAAGCAGACTACTCTTTACTTTAGGTCTCTGTTACAGCACTAAGCACTGTGAAGGAAAACTTAATTTCTGATTATTACTTTCTTAAAGGAAATATTAATGTTTTCCTGTATTAAATGCAAAGTACTGTATGTAGGTTTTGACAGTTTATTCCTTAAGCATCTTGTAAGAGTGGTGAGAGTTTTACTGAAATTTTTTTGTTTGTTTTCTTAGCTCCTGCTATTTCTGTCTTCATGTTGCCAGCATCCTGGTTTTGTTGGTATTTCCACTGAAAAGAACTGAAAAAGGAAGTAAAAAGCATGAAAACGTCCAGCCTGTGTGGTCCAAAAAACTAGAAGAAGAAAATCTTTTGCAAAAGAACAATTATTCCACAACAAATAATAGTTTCAGTCAGAAACAAGAAATAACCTGCAGATATCAAGCATTAAAGCAGTGATTGAGGAAATACTATGATGAATATATTTTGTATGTTTTCAGAAACCCATTTTTAGCACCTTTTAAAGGGGTTTGTATTTGTTTGCAAAGATGTTTAGTAAGCAATGAATGCATTACCTAGGAAAATCACATTCAATAGCAAGACTGGAAACAAAACAAATTAACCCCTCCCATGCCATGTCCCTGTGGGTCACGCCTTATCTGAAGATATTACCATTATTTCAATGGGCACTCAGGACTTGCAACGTATGTCCATAGGGTCATATGTGTGCCCTTTGCTGAATGTACGTTGTGTATCCCAAGGCACTGCTGGGGTGGAATAAAATTGTGTCAATCTAGGATTAACAAATGGAAATTAATTTTTCCAAGTGAATGACTTGCCTTAAACCCTCTATTTACTGAAATATTGTTTCTAAGTGGGTATTTTCCAGTTTGATTTTATGTGGAAAGCATATTTCAAATATATAGTACTATATGCTATAAAGAAGATAAAAATGGGAAATGCAAAGTCGTTAGAAGGACCTTGAGTCTTTAAAAGGGAATTGCAATAAGCATCTCAGTATTTGGAGGGTTTTCTTAAAGTATCTCAATTACAGTACATTACAGAACTGTAGACATTACTTATGCCAAATTATAGTTAGGTTTCTTTGATAAAGATTATAATTACATGTAGCCCTTCTGAACGAACTTTAAAAAAAAAAAACCACTTGAATTGTCACCTTTCCCAGGGCTTGATAGCTCTAATTTAGGTTTCTTTTACTTTAAAGTACCTAAAAACAATAAAACACTGCCAAGTGGTCTTTGCAGCTAGAGAAGGAAAGGCAGCCATGGGACACAGAAGACAATGTGCAAGCACCAGGATTTCAGTGAAGGTGTGGTATTACCCTTAAATGCCAGAAATACTTGTTCTAGAATAGAACTGTTTTTGCAAAAGAATATTTTTAATACTTAAAGTTATCTTGACTTTTCAGGCATATAGTTGGTGATGCTTTCAGTATAAAGTAGCAAAATTGCCTTGAGCTCTAGTGCTCAGGTAGTCAAAAATGAAATGACTCTATGCTTGATAATTGATGGCCCTTTATCCAAAGAAGTATATGAATTTGAGGAAAAGCTTTTTCTCTACATTAGAATTTCAGATGTAAAGTTCACATCGTGTTTCTGGGTAACATAATGGAAGAAAGAAATCTTTCAGAATATCTGACTTAGTGAATCATGGAAGTGTGCCAAGGGAATAATGCAGTGGTTATATCTATTCCAGACCATTTATTGTGATGATGGTCATTGCTAGAGTACTACTGTTAAAGGGCTACATTTTAATTGCTTATATTCTGTATTTTCATATATTTTTTAAGTAAACACAAACTGTTTATCCACATGGGTTTTTTTTAGCTTTAAAACTGACGAAAAAATACAACCAGAGAAAAATAATGTTAATTTATAACCTGCAGGATGAATGAGAAAAATTTTGTCGTTATATTTTGAACCTTAAATTTTTCATCAAATATCTGACAGTAGTGGGGTGAATGTTCTTAGTACCAGAAGTGCAGTGATGGTCCTCGGCTTTGGGGATGCAAAAATAGTCACAGTATTTCTGGCTCACTTGCTGAAGAACTGGATCCTAAGTCAGGTCAGAGTTGCTTCCTTGCTGTGACGGTTCTGTGTCTGTTTGGGTGATCAGGGATGCTCGTTGCTCAGTGACAGCTCCTATTTTATCCTTAAGATAAAATAATCTGACTCATAAATCCTTACTTTGATTACCCGGGTAGACCTCCCTTGACATGTGATCATGGTTGTCATACATCTCTTTGAAATGACATTACGGTTTTCTTCCTGTTATTTTTAAGTAAGGGCACACTAGTTTCTTTATGTTTGATTATCCTTATTAGATACGGAATCAGGAAAGACATTTTTGCTCTTTCTGTTCTTCAAGGGACATTTTGCATAAAATAAATTAGAATTGCACATTTCTGGGTGGGTGAGTAGAATTAAGGTTGATTCTTTCAGCATTCGTTGCTGTTGAACTTAAATTCCTTTTGTTGGTGCATCTACATATCTACCCAAACAAGCACTTTGGGATGCCAGTACAACATCTAATGTGCCATTTTTCATGTTCTGGTACTCTTGTTTTCTTGTTCTGGCATGCGTGCCCACACGTGCGCTGGAGGCTTACTATTTCTGCATTACGAAATAGGAGAACAGTTGTAAGCACTCCCAGAAAGTAAGGTTTAGGATGGTGAAGACTGGTACTTCAGCATGAGTGAGTTCACAGGTACAGTTTTGTTCGAACTTTTGTACGTATGGGCAAGTTAGAACAGCTAAGGAGATATAGACGTGCTTTGCATGGGCACAAATGGCAAGGTAGTGGTTTCAGAATTGGATGTGACTGTGTCTGCGTGCAATACAATTAATTTTTTCTTTATGATTTGAACCCCGTAAATAATTTCTACACAAAAAAATGATGATGATTCATTCTGCATGAAATTTATTTTTAAGTGTAGTGTCCTAGAATTTCCCCTCTAGGTGTCCTTTTGAACCAAACTCTGCTGTTTGTGCAAATGAATTCTCTTGGGGACTATGGAAGGAGGCTTTTTGTTTAACAGCTGCACTCTGATTTTAGTCAGACTGGAGTTTTGTTGTTGCTTTTCCTCTGCTTTTACTGGTTTTCTGCCTTGCTATCTCACTGGGTCTGTTTTATCCATTTAGTCCGTAAGTCAACAGCAGCTGGCCCCGATGCTGCATGTAATTTTTAGGTTTTACACACGTCATGTTTTAATACTGAATTTGAAAGGATGGCAGTGATTTACTATTGCTCTTGCTGAGAAAAACAGTAGAGAGTAAATTTCCTAGAAACGTATTGGGCATGAAGTAAACACAGTTTTAAGTAGTCTTTCACTTATTAAGTGAAAGGTAAAAGTGTTTTCTGTACTGCAGATCAGCACACTATGAAAAGTAAATACAACATATCATTCATAATTCTATGGTGCTTTGCAGATATTTGCCTATTGTGAACAATTCATTTGAGCACCTGAGTTAGGTAGTAAATGTAGTCACCCTGATAGTAAGTATTTGCGTGCTTAACTTTTTTTAACCTTTATGATTCTCTATTAATGACAGAAAAATAGATTATATATTTAAATAATACTTTCAGTGGTGCCTACTCCTCTTGTAATTGGGAAAGCTTTGTTAGCTTTACAGTTACAGATATGCCCTTCTTGTTCAGGAAACTTATTCCTCCATGGCCGTTCCTCAAGTTGACATGTAGATAAGATTTCAGTAATAGGTGACAGTTTTTAAAATACATTACTAGGTAAAAAAATTGGCATTTCAGTATGCTCTTGATAACAAGTCATACTTAATGAGAAGATTTTACAAAGAGATCTTTGTATATTCCCTGGTCTACGCTGACTTGTGGTATGAGTTTTGCCAGTATTGTATATTATTTATGAGAAGAATTTTCCACTTATTTAAGTTGTTCCATTTCCCCTATGGGAATAAGTAATATGAATATAAATTCATATGACAGGATGCACGCTAGGTAGTTGTGCTGCTTTTGTTGGCATTGATTTGGTCAGTGGTAAAATGTCCTCTGATGCAGAGGAGACCCTTAGGAGATACTCGCCTCCTGTCAAATTCATATCAGAAGTAATTTGAACAGAGTCTGGATTTTTCTCTCAGAAGCTTTGCAAACAAATTGTTGACAGTTTGTTTAATTACATCATCAAATGTGTCCTCACGTTTGCCTGCAAATGTGTCACTGTTGCTTACATGCAAACTTTCACATGCTCAACTTTGTAAGTTGGCCTTGAATGATAGAGGAATTTAAAAGCACAAGTTACAGTAATTAGCCTTCATTTCCCTTGTCCTTCAGTCTTTTGCTTTGTAATTCCCACTGAAGTCTGAAATCAGGTTTGAGAATTTTTTGTTTCCAAAGAAAATTTGGAAATATTGCCATTTTTGTTGAAAAGTGATCAGTGTTAGAAAAACATATGGAAATAAATTTAAAGCTTTTAATATGATGCAGACTCTACATATAAAACAAATAAGACATGTTTCTGTGCTGGTTTATCACAGCATTTCACTGCATGATTATCCTTTATGTGTTTATTTGGGTCCAGTAATACTGTGAACAGCACTTGGGAGTGTTTTTACATTCCCCATTAAAAAATCAATTGGTTTTTAGTTCTCAAACAAGTATTTAAATGGTATGCTGAATAAGTAGCTAAGCAGATACCCTAGTGAATTGAGCCTACTCACATTAGATTTACCAGTTCTGCCTGGATCTAAGCTAGTTTGCACTGTCGGTCTTGATCATCTTCATAGTCCTGGTGGCAAAGCTGGTTGTGAAGAAGTCTCTGGCAAGAACGTGTCCCCTCAGCAGCCAGGAGGGTTTGCCACAGAGTTCCTGGGGGCAGCTGACCCTGCATGCAGAGCTTGAGAGAGGATCTGCTTGCTTTGGGCCCGGGTTGCAGCACCTCCGTGCTGCGTTTTTGATGTGTTCGCTGTTGTAATGTAGAAGTTTTGCAAACACCACAAAGTCTACAAAACCTAACAGTCAGCTGTATCCATTTTTGTCCCATGAAATGTTTAAAACATCATTTTGCTCACTTTAGGTATGCAGACATGCAAAAGCAATTTTTGCCACTTCTTCATGTGCATTAGCGCTCTGTCCGGCACCTTGGGCCTGGGTTTGGTTTTAGATGTTTTTAGGTTTTCTAGGTTTTTTAGGTGCATATCCATATAAACATTGTTTAAATGTTATGAACTGACAAACTGTAGTTACATATAGGGTGCATAAATATACTCAAAAGAGGCCATATCAATATTTATGTGAGGCTAGTGTTGAGCCCTCCAGTTGCAGACTACGTCTTCTGATGGCTGTTGGGCTCTGTTCTCAGACTACTAAGCTTTCTGCTTCCTAAACTGAAAACAGTGTATGTTGGTTACCTTTTAAGTGGGAAGTAAACAGCTTTTTTCACTCTGTTGCAAACCCAGCCCTTAGAAGATACTCTGCTGCAGACTATGAACACAAAATTAAACTTTAGATACAGGATTGAAATCTAAGTTAGGGCCACTTTTGGAGGACAGTTTTTATATTAACACTGAATCGGTCCAGCACCTTATTCCAAACAAACCTTTTGATGAAAGAGACTTCTGCACAATCTTCTTCCTTTCTTTCTTTCTCTGAGGAAGAAGTAGCCCAAGCTGGATTCTCATTTAGGTTTCGCTACAATGTGTTGTATGAACAGAGAGCCACCATCCAAACTCTAGTCAGATTCGGTTTCCACAGGGGTGGCGACGTAATCTGAAATTAAAAAAAAAAAAGGAAAGAGGGTGCCTAGAGACTGGTAATCAGAATAGTCCAACACTGCGTATTAAAGGTGCAACAGTCTTTTGTCACGATAAGTTAAGGAGTATTTGCCTATGCATATTTTGCCTTTCTATGTGTTTATTGGTTCCCTTTACATCTCTTCTTTGTACCTTCTTCCGTCCAGTGACTATTTCTGTGAAGAATCTTCTGAAGTGTCTTACTGTCACAAAGGTGTCAAAACGATACAGTAGTCATTAGGTAGTTATTCTTAAATCCCAGACCTCAGATGAGTTCTAGATCAGTTAGAAGAGAAAATTCAAAATGTATTGAATGAAATATAGTGTAAGATGGATAAATATAGCATTATTCGGAGATGTTGTAATAAGTTATTCAATTTAAGAATTTAAAATATGGGACTTTGTTCTTTCCTGCCTTGGTTACACATTCAAGGGAATAGTTTTACCTCAATGCAGAAGTAGTTATGCCTCCAACTACCCATAGGTTAAGGTGAGAAAACACCCCTACAAGTGGATAGCTACAGTATTCCTAAATTTGCCTTTCCTGGTTCAGATTATAATGCATTGTTGTTGAATTTCATTTTTATTATTCCAAAATATA